AATTATGAAGAAGTGATATTTAGTGAGGATTGGTTGTGAATCTAAATCAAAATCAAATTCCAAAGTACAAAATTACACATCTATGGCAACTCCAAGATTTTTTTATCAATTAAAGAGTGATATTTGAGAGCAAACTTATGAAAAAAAAATTTGAAACTTGGTTTCATGTCATTTGGATTAATATTGAGGTTTTGAAAGATTTTTAAAGTTGATGATGTACTTAAAGGGATTAGATTTTGAAAAATAAAAATGAGTTAATAAATTTGAGGATTTTATGAGTTTCATAGCATATTTACAAATAAAAATTTGAGAGTTTGTAATTGTATTTTTTGTAAATTGTGAATGTATGTAAAATATTTGAGGTGAATCTAATAGTCAAATTAAAAAATATAAGAGTTTTTGTAGGTTATGGTCTTAGATAATTGAAATTTAGAATTAGTAAGGGATTTTGTGATCTAATATTATTTGTTAGTTTGATTGAAGTAAAAATTTAAGAAAACAATTTAGATTTGATTACTTTCATGTAATTCAATTTTTGAAGTAATTGAATAGTTTAATAAGGAGAAATCTTTGTTGAAAGATCAATATTCAAGTTGGAAAAGGAGAGCAACAAACAATCAAGAGGTTTTGGAAGCTTTTCTTACAATTGATAAATCCAATTCTTCTTAAATTTTGTGTGCTTATTAATTACTTGTTGATTGAATTTTAAATAAAATTTTATTTAAAATCTATGGTTCAATTAACATTCATTGAGGTTTCAAAAAGCTATAATAATTGATTAAGTTTTGTTTAAAATTTTCTTAGAGTTGTTTAGGATTTGATTAGAATTAGTCTAGGATTTAGGATTTGATTAGGATTTAAGATTTTGCTAGTATTTCATTAGGATTGGTCTAGAATTTAAGATTTGGTTAAGATTTAGGATTTTATTAGAATTTCATTAAGGTTGATCTAGGATTTAGAATTTGGTTAGGATTTAGGATTTTGCTAGGATTTCATTAAGGTTTGATCTAGGATTTGGTTGAGATTCATGAAAAATTTAATTATAATTTTAATTAGGATTTAATCTAAGATTTGATTAAGATTTAAATTAGAATTTCAAATAGGAATTAATAAAGAATTTATCTGGGATCTAATTAAGATTAAATTAGAATTTTTATTAAAATTTATTTAGAATTTATTTAAAATTTCTATTTTTACTATTTTAAAGAATTTCTATTTATTTCTTTAAAATTTTATTTTTCTATTTCTTTATGATTTTTTATTATTTATCTTTAAAATTAATTTATGACTATTTTTTATCTTTTTATAATTTCTTTTAAATTTACTTTAGATTAGTTAAAATTTTATTATAATTACTAAGGATTATTTAAAGCTTATTTGAGATTCTATTACACTTGGTAGGATTGTTGTTACATTTCTATTTATCTTCCACAACTAGGTGCATGGTGCATTGTCAAGCAAGAATACACATAATATGACAACAACATGTTAGTTGATGGTACAAGTGTAATCTGATAATCTTAGGGTGATATAGATTGTCTACGGTAAGTGCACAAAGACAATGATCCTAATTGCTCAATTGACTACAAGGATCTAATTTGTATACATTTTAGGCCCAAAAAAAGGTTATATGAGAGTTGCCCTCAAACTAGGTTATCTTATATTGGTGTATGTATAATTGAGGTGCCACTAAGTTGTGTCTCTGATTGGACATATATTGTGTTAGTTGCCATATCTCTATAAATTTCAAGGTCTAAAAATATATCATAATCTTGATCAAGTGCTTGGAGATTTTTAATAAAATTTAATCTTCTAAAAATCTCACATCTTTTGATATAATAGCATGACATGTTCCTAGATCGTAATATCTAAAGCCTTTGGCCCTATCATTTCTATTGAAATACAAAAGTTTCTTGAATCTATCAACAAGTTTTTCTTTGTCAAGTTTTGTATATATTATGTAAACAAGTGATCCAAAAAAATTTAGTAAAAAAAAATTAGATTTTAGTCTGGTGAATATTTTTTTGAGGATTCTATCTTGATCTTGCTTTATTGATTGTAAATTCAAGATCGTACAAGCTGCATGTTGCATCTCTACCTATAGATTTTTGAGTAGCATGTGATTAAATAAAAAGCATTGCATGATGTCGAAGATAGCTCTATTTCTTTGCTTGGTTGAGGCATTGTATTGTGAAGTATATGGTTGCGTTACTTGGCAGTAAATTCTATATAATTCATACTAATTATTAAATTTATTTGAAGTAAAATTATCACTATTATCAAATTATGAAATTAATCATTTTTGGCGGCATTGGTATTTAATAGCTTAGTGAAATATACAAAAAATTTCAAAGCCCTCACTTTTTATTGTTATAAAGTAAATAAATATTTTCTTTAAAAAATCATCAATAAATGAAATAAAATATTTTTTTCTTTCAATAAATTTTACTTAAAAAGGCCTATATATACTAATATTTACTAGATATAATATGTAGATTGATGAAGTGGTCATACTCTTAAGGATCTTGGTCCTTCTTTACTTCTTTACTAAACATATTTTATAGAGAATGTTGTTGATAGAAAAATATGGCAATCTTATGACCGCATTGTGATCCATCACACATTGCATAACTAAATAGTTAAAATTTCTTAATTTGTGGTGCCATATCATGGCAAATGATGTAGGCAATGCCAAAGAATCATGAATGGTGGTTATGCCATGTGCTTTTGGCTTCCAAATCTTGAAGCAGTTCAATAACATATCTTCTATCATATATAATCCATTATGTGATTGTCTGTCTATTCTAACTATTATGCAATCTATTTTATTTTTTTATCAAGAAAATGTCTTTATAAAACTGAAAAACAAATCATCTTTTAGTCAAAAAACCAAAAAATAATAAATTTTTAGTAATATTAGGCAAAAACAAAATATGGTCAATCTTTAAATTTTCTCTAGATAAAATCCGAATGACTATATTTTCAACCCTAATGATACTATGCCAATACCTTTGTGCTAAGATAACTTTGGTATCTCTACTTGGTTTTAGTAACAAAAAAATAGATGGATTTCTTGATACATGATGAAATGCACCCAAGTTAAGGAATCATAGTGTTGTGCTTTGTCTAATCTTAAATAGATTTACTCTTGCAAAGCAAGCCTTGACAATTTGAATAACTAATAATTTCTCTTATAGTTAATTTTAATGAGGTTGATCTTTGCAATTAATTGGATTATACTTGAAAAATTTATCAACATTGTTTATATACACTTTAGGCTTATGCTCTTGCATCCTCAATTCCAAATCACATAATTTATTTATGATACTCTTCAAATTTGATTTCTTGTCCATTTTTTTAACTCAAAGTAATTTTGCTAAAGTTAATTTTGGTGAAAGTTGCCTTTGTATAATTTGATGCTTCTATGTGTATTACCACTGTAATAATAGGCATCCTCTCTTTGATTTGCATATATAGATTAACTCAGATAATTGCTTCTTGTACTTGATTGATAAGAGGTCTTTGTATTGGTATTGTGGCTTGTGTTAACATGATAATAAGGACCTTCTTCCAATTGTTGATGGTTGCTACTTTATTATACTTCTAAGTATAATTATTGGATCTATCACTATAATCTTCTTAATTTGAGTTTGATCCTCCTATCATATAATCTTCTTAAATTCTTGAAACTTAACAAAGCCTTGTTTTTTTTTTCTTTGCTCTTTTATACTTTTCTTAATATCTTCTTGCTTAATGGTCTAAGTTATAACTTAGTACAAGTGAGAATATATGTAGTGTCAATTAAAAAAGAAGAATGAGATGAATATATTTAGTGAAGGTAATATTGCATCTCAAGTATTGACTATGGATCTGAGTTTGCGCTTATGTGATAGATGGATGGACAAAGTCATAAGATGAGATCTTCTATTAGGAGAGCACCAACATCAAATAAAATCTGCATCAAGGAAACAAAATGCTTAAGGTAGATAATTTATTTCTAATAACTTAAGTATTTCAACATATATCTAATAGATGTAAAAATAGGAAAATACCTCCATATAAAAAAATAGAAATCAAGAAGCTTTTCAATATTTACACACTATTTGATTCAAAAAAAAAAAAAAAAAAAAAAAAAAAAATTATAAATGTTTTAGCTAAAGATTTTCTTTGATCTATTTCAAACATATAGGCCAACCTAATTTCGACTAGTTTTAGATTACAAAATTGAGAATCCAACTTTTACAAAATTGTGATGTATGGCATCTATTAATGCTATTAAATTTCACCTAATTCTATGCAACCTATAGATGTAAATGTATACATGAGATAACAATAATTCAAACATTTGGTTATAAATATTCCACCATGTTTGAGTTGGATTTTTACCACTATTCTTCCTTATTTCTACTCATCTCCAAACAATATTTTTCACATCTTCCATCTTCTAATCTCACTCCAACAATTCCCTAATTCACCAATGCATAACCAACCATTGCATACATACAACTCTACTTATGCAAAAATTGATTTTTGAAAATTTACATAAACCCATTCCGAATTTAGTAAACTATTTATATTGCTCATAGTTTAACATCATTTCTACAAGGCCCCAACTTATTTTTGACCACAAAATGCCAAAACTACTCAACAAATAAGCTGGCAACCTAATGGAAATACCCCACCATATAGGTCGAAAATGGGGGGTGGTCGACAATGTATAAGCTACCTTGTGTCAATTAACGAAAATTTATTTTGTGAAAAAACAAATATATATATAAAATCTATGGGTGAAAGGATGGCGCCTACGCCAGGATGAATGCCGAAGCTAAGACAGTCGCGTCGCGGCGCGTCGCGACTGCATTCAATGGCCAAATCAGTGACGCGGCCACCGCGAAACAAAATCCTGAAGCTGGCTGGCTGCCGACCGCCAACCATTGTTGTATCCTGGCGCTGCCCATTTGCCAGAGCGCTGCGCCACGCATGCTGCCATGTGGGTTCTTCTGGTCGCTTCTCGTCTTCTCTCGTGACGCATTCTCACCTTCGCTCGGTCCCTCGCTCCACCAATCGCCCGCGCCTTTTCACCCGCCGTCGATGATTGTTTCGTCTTGAAAACGGCACTCCGGTGGATGCTCTGTTCTGACGTAGGCCTCCTTGCTGGGGTTGTTGAGCTTCGTGTGTGTGTAAGTGTGTGGAGTGTTCGTTGAATGTGGTTGCAGTGTTTGGAGTTGAGGATTGATTTCATCTGTGGGGTTGCGACATCTTGAATTTTACAACCCAGTTTGTGGAGAAGGTCGAGTTCAGTGCTGTCGCTGCAGATTGAGACCGTGTGTGTGTAAGTGTGTGGAGTGTTCGTTGAATGTGGTTGCAGTGTTTGGAGTTGAGGATTGATTTCATCTGTGGGCTTGCGACATCTTGAATTTTACAACCCAGTTTGTGGAGAAGGTCGAGTTCAGTGCTGTCGCTGCAGATTGAGACCAAGGTGAGGCTTCTGATGAGGTTGAGTGGGTGCTTTTCTCTTGTTGTTGTTTTTTTAAGCGTTTGCCTTATTTTTTCTGGTTTGATGAGAATTTCGTATGAGCTTGCTGTTAATGTGGAGTTGAACTTCCAGCTTCTTCCTTGCGAATTTGTGGCGACTTGGTGCAGGATGAGTTGTTCTCTTGATAATGTGCTCAGAGATGCTCTTTGCGGATCATCGTTATTATGATTTCCTTTCCTTTCCTTTCCTTTTCTTTTCTTCTCTTTTTGTGTTTGCAGATCTGCTGCAAATTCTCCATGTTTAAAGCGGATTTTTCTTGCGTCTTGTGGAATCGCATAACAACAATGCACGTGTAATGGTGATCAGGAGTGTGGAAGACTGACCGTGTGCAGCTGGGTTGTATTGGATCTTTGGATTGGATGGACAGGGGCTTGTATGTAATTTTGAGCAGAGGGTTTGCGTTCCACTCGCAACCAGACTTTCGTAAGAATTCGCTGGAGTGTGAAGGTACGAAGGCTGCTCCTAACAAAAAACTGAGTAGTTTATCAAATTAATCAAAGCCCTAACTGACACATCAGAACTTTGAACATCGCTTGGTTAATCCTCTTTGGCTGCTCCAGCATTTTTCACGGCTGAAAGAAAATTCACCTGCACAGGTTTTACACTTACGAAATGGCGTCGGTGGCCCTCCAATCGCTCACTGTACTCAAGCTCTTCACGCCCTTGCCGAATGCAAGTAATCAGAAGCGGAGCCGCAATGTAGTATTACGTCCTTCTCAGGTATGGTTCGAAGTCCCTCCCCGCTAACACGGACGAGGTCAGCAACTGGATGCTGCTAGGGAATTTCCATGATGCTGATGGTCTCAATGAGTTACTCTAGACTCGGTCATTCAACTTGTGCAGCTGACAACATAATCATGTAAAATTTCCCATGTATATTGCTTGTAGTTGTATTTTAGGAACAGAGGAATTTAGTCTTTCACCTGCTCATCATACCAAGCTTGCATTATGTTGATTATCAGGTGTGTGGGCAGCGTCTGGCCAGTGGGAATTTTTTTATTGACCCTTTGAAAACCAGGCGCACAGTTCGGCTTCTTGCAAGAGCCGAAGTGAAGGACGAGAAGAAAGATTCTCAGTCATCAGGTGACCTGTCCATCCCGTTGATTTGGAGCTTAGGTTTTAATTTTGGTCTTTGCATAGTGGTTTTCTCCTTGCCGCATAGTAACATTCTGCATTTCAAAGCTGAGACTTGAATTTCATTTGTGATTTTGGGTTTCATGTGACAACAGTGGAAGACAGACCAGCGGAGGAGAAAGACCAACCGGTGGAGGAGTCCAAGAAGGAAGAAGCGGTGGAGAAGAAACAAGAAAGAGATTGGAGGCTGGATGAAGATTTCAAAAAGTTCATGAGCAATCCATCGATTGAATCTGCTTTGAAGCTGGAGAGGAAGCGCGCTGAGGAAAAATTGCGAGACCTTGATAACCAGGATCAGGGAAACTTTTTCAAAGGAATAATCAATAGTGTCGTCAGGTATGTCTTCTGCACTTCCTCCTGACATGTTGCCGCGAGTTCCTCGTCTCGATTCATTTATGATCTATCAAAAGCCTGTTGTATCCCTTCCTGTTACGTCTTGTAATTTCATGGTAACTTGAACAGGAGGTCATTGCAGCGAGAGAAAGAGCGACTTGATAAAGCTGAAGCGACATTCATTGCTTTAGACCTTAGCAAGGTGAGGAGTTGTTTTGGCCTTGATACATTCTACGCGAACGATGTCCGGAGAATGGGAGACGGGGGCATTGTCATTGGAAACTTGCGAAGGCCCTTGGCGGAAGTCAAACCTAAGCTTGAAAAGAAACTCGCAGAAGCATGTGGTCGGGAAGTAGACCTTTGGTTCATGGAAGAAACTGTTAACGATGAAACTAAACAAGTAATGCTTCGCCCTCCTAAACTTCCAGCTTTCTTTCAATTTCTTTAGTATGAGTGTTCTAGCTGGACCCTAGAGTGCTGGAAAAGTATACTAGGTCGTTAAGGATAAACGGTATTTTTTTCAGGTGTGCGTAGTACAACCGAAGGCAGAAATTGACGCACAGTTTGAATCGCAAAGGCTGAGCACTTGGACAGGATATTTCAGTGCTGCATTGCTAGGAATCACAACCCTTGGCACAATCAGCATTATGAGTGGTTTCTTTCTGACGCCTGGTGCAACTTACGATGATTACGTGAGCCGCGTTCTTCCCCTCTTCGCTGGGTACCTCGGCATTTTTGGCACCTCGGAGGTAAATTTTAGCATTTATGTATCTCTTAAACGAGTCGAGTTATTCAAAAATTGCATTGCAAGCTGCAGCACTTCGCAATTGACTTTGTTATGAAACTTTTTCTATGAGCTTTTGTTTTTTGTAGGGGTCCTGCTTACATTCCTAATATCTCTCTATGTCAACTTCTCAGTTAGCCACACGGTATGTGGCGTCGAAGTATGGGGTGAAGCTGAGTCCAACTTTTATGATTCCATCGAACTGGACGGGTTGCTTGGGCGTAGTCAATAACTACGAGTCCCTCCTCCCTAGCAAGAAGGCCTTATTCGATATTGCTGCAACGCGCATCACGAGCTCGTATTTGGCATCCTTGGGCTTAGCCATTTCGGCGTTCTTGCTTGATCAGAGTTGGAATGGTGGAGAGAATGCTTTGTATGATCCGCAAGCCCCTTTGTAGTACCAACTCTTAGATTTCCTTTTCTTGATTTAAAATCATGCTAAACTGAAAATGCACATAAAGCTTTGTTTTGTGAAGGTTCCTTGCCGATTGCATACATCATCGGTTTGTAGCATGCGTGTAAAAGATTTGCTAAATCTAGTTGTCTTGATTTGCAACGCAGATACATTCGCCCCCAATTCTTCTACAATAACCCTCTTCTCTCATTTGTACAATACGTGATCGGGCCATATAGCGATGAGCTTGGCAACGTACTCCCTCAAGCTGTTCCCGGACTTGGAGTTCCGATTGACCCTCTCGCGTTCGCCGGACTCCTCGGTACATGTCAACTGTGTGTGTTCGTGTGTTTTTCTTTTCTTTTCTTTTTTTTAATCTTTGCATTGTATAGTTGAGAACTCTCCACTGTTTTTGATATTTTTGGAACTTGATACTGACCAAGGTCCTTACGATCAATATCTTGCAGGTATCGTTGTGACCTCCCTCAACATGCTTCCATCAGGCCGTCTTGAAGGTGGACGCATTGCGCAAGCAGTCCTGGGACGTCGTCTTGCCGGTCGCCTCTCTTTCTTCACGTCTCTAGGCCTCGGTTTTGGTGGGGTCACTGGCAGTGTACTCAGCCTAGTGTGGGGCTTCATTGCGACCTTCTTCCGCGGCGGTGAGGAGCTCCCAGCACAAGACGAGATCACCCCCTTGGGTAATGAGCGGAAGATCTGGGCCATCGCTCTGACTGTCATCTGCTTCTTGACGCTCTTCCCCAACAGCGCTGGTACCTTCCCGAGCGCCTTCTACACTCCGCCATTCTTCCGTGGAGACGACTTCTGATTCCAAAACAGCAATTCACTTCTCGATTCCCTCACACAACACAAAACACACGACACGGACTTGTACGTATACCAGTTTCCAGTTAATCCCAGTGCTCAACTTTCTGCTGCATACTTTGTATTTTACTAAACAAATCGGTTTCTTCAAATGTAAATGTTGTAGAGCTTTAATAGATTTCTGGATGACAGCTCCTATGACATCGCTGGCTTCCTTTGTATTTGCCCCATGCTGAAGAGCATGTGTATCTTTACCCATTTTGGCTTACAAACACTCAAGCTGTAGAAATGGTTCACCAGAAAAACAAAACCTGGATGTGTACTTATTGTCGCATTCCATTTCACACTGAACGATTTTTCTCGTGGCAAAGTGTTAGTTCAGTTATTTCGAGTCTTTGATGGGCTGCTTTATACATTTAGAAATCTGTCATCTAGAAATGACAACCATAAGTAGATTGATGAATTTACAAATTGGAACAAAGTATGTGATTGATTAAGTGTGAAATATGCATTAGGAGGCAATGGAACTTTTGTTTGTGGGTGATTGTTGTATTCTGAGTTGTTTTCTTGATGTTGTCCTCTTAGTTTTTATCTCACAAATGAGAGTATATGTTTAAAAGTATTAATGCATGTTTTCAATAATACAAGTGCATTACAAAAAAAAAGTATCACGTATATTTATTTATTTATTTTTTAGTAATTTTCTAAAATTCAACTTTTTTTCTGTGAATTGAATTATTTTCATCCTTTTTGATTTTTTTTTACATGTGTGATAACAAACTATCTTACTAATAATTCAAGGTAATTTAGAATTCAAATCCAATCTCTGAACACGTATGTGTTTTTTTTGTTATTACATCATAATGTCTAATATGTGGTATTTGTTTCATAATAAGAAAAGACATGCACTCACTTTAGATTAATCAATAAAGTAGTGTATATTGTTGTTGAAAAATACAACCATAATTTTTTTCTAATATATACATTTAGCACAATACTTACAAATGGGCGAAAGTATATATGACATGATATGCAAATCTTACCTAGAAATACAAAATGACATACTTACAAGTTGATGTACACATATTATAGTTTATCCTTTATTTAAACTTTTTGATGTGTAGATTTTATCCAATAATTATGAAGTCCAAAATATTTAAACATAAATTTTTAATTAAAAAAAAAATTAAGTTGAAGTATTAACATATATTTCAGCCAACAACAATGCCATAGTTGTAGTAAATGACAATGTATATTATGTATCATGAACTTATCAACTAAAGACTTCCTTGTTTTACTTATATGCTGTATATTACTATGTTATAGCATTTACCTTTATGTATATATATATATATATATATATATATATATATTACAATGTATTATTGGTATTTAATTTTTTAATTTTTTACATCTTTTTAACATGTGGATTTTTTTGTAGCACCAATAAGTCATCTACAAATTAACAATATTTAAAATTAAAAAAATTAAAAAATGAAGGTGCTATCATGATATTTGAATTTGTATGAGCTGAGCAACAATTACAGTATTGCAACAATTCTACAAGTTAACATACTTCAACCATTTTTACAACTATTAATTTCAGGTAGAATAATATATTACCTAAAATTCAAGAAGTATACAACTCAAATCCTATTGAAAAGTCATATAAATAAATTGATTAAAAATGTAGAAACCTTATAGCATAAAAAATTGACTGACATCTCAATTATATTCAATGCAACAAAGCTATAAAACATCAAAAGACTAACAAAGTCAATGTCATGTAGCACAAAAATAAATCGTTATGAAAAAATAAAATAATAAGCAGATAAAAAAAATCATAATTATGGTAATTTTCTCATAGAAACCAAACCAAACGCTGCAAAAACACTCAAACAAAAACACACATTTTTCTGACTCTTGAAACAAATTAACTATGCACTGTTTTCGTTCAAAACACACCCACCTCATTATTTTACAAAGTTTGCAACCAACCCTACAATCTGAACGATAGAATGAATGAATTATTCTCAAACTTATCGTTCTTCTCACCCCTCGTCACCACCAAACTGTCTCCTCAAAAAAGAAAGCAATATAATGCAAAAGCAAGAGGCAAAAAAGGAGTTCGTCATGAAGCAAATAACACAAAAGGGAAATGGGGCTCCGAAGCAATTATCCCACACTTGGCAACATCCCCACTCGCCATCGTTTTTGTGGATTGCACACGATGTGTGTGAGCACGCCACGTTCTGGTTTCGCTTTATTCGCAACTCTCCACACAAGCAAGCTTTCAATCCTGGTTCAGTTTCTGTAACCAAGCCAGCGTCTCGCAACTCACTATTATAATATCCTCATACTTTTGAGTCTGAGTTGTTGTTGTTTTTATTGTAGTAGGAGTTTGCTGTAGCTTGTTTGATATACGGTTTCATCTTCTTGTTCTAGTTTTGGGTTCAAATCCAAATTTCTGGAGCCTCATTTTGTGTTGATCTAGAGCTACGAGTGAACTGGTTTTTCTTGATTTTTCACATTTTTGATCGTTGTTGTCGTTGGCTATGGCGATGGTTATGCTTTCTTCTGGTTTGACAGGATCGAGTGCTCTAGCTTCTGGTAAAAATTTCAATGTCAGAGTGCGCAGTTGTAGCTCCGGGCGGGGTGTAGCTCTCGCAGGACCAGCTCGTGCCATTTCGACGCACCGGAAGCTCGTAATGTCCGGAGCGAGCACACAGTTCTTCACGGGTCATGGATTTGTTAGTCTTGTGAGTTGTTGTCGTGGTGGTGGTGGTGGTGTTGTTAGTCGGAGAGGAGCTGCTGCGAGGCGAGGGGTTGTGACCCCACGCGCGGTGAGCGCACCTGCGACCGAGGGAATGAAGAGCTTGTACATAGCGGTGGGAATTCCACTCGTGCTCGGCTTCGTGGACGCCATCTTCAACAGCCCGTTGTCCAAGTGGTACTTCGACCTGAAGAAGCCGAAATGGCAGCCCCCGGGCCCCATCTTCGGCGGTGCATGGAGTCTGCTGTATCCCCTCATGGGGCTCGCGTCATGGCTTGTGTGGGCCGAAGGAGGCTTCGCCAAGCAAGCCGTCCCGCTCACGCTCTACGCCATCCAGCTGGTGCTCAACCTCGCATGGCAAGCGCTCTTCTTCGGTGCTAAGCGCCTCGGCGCCGCGTTCTACGACATCCTGGCTCTGGACGTGGCGATCGTGGCTACCATCGTCGCCTTCAAACCCGTCAACGAAGTCGCGGCCAATCTGCTGAAGCCCTATCTCGCATGGGTGCTCTTCGCGACGGCCTTGAGCTGGCGCCTCTGGGACCTTAACCGCGACCTCACGGTGGACTCCAGCGCTCCTCCCGCAGCGTCCAGCGCGAGCTAAACCCCCTCCCCCATTATTATCACTGTTTCCATGTCCACGACTTCGTTGCGAGCTGCCGTGAGTATGCATTTCTCTCTGCCTCGGCGCGGGGCGGAGACTCCGATGCTCCGCGAGTGTGAGTGTGAGTGAGCGAGTGAGTGAGTGTACAGATTTGTAGCACCAAAGCAGAAGAAGCAGAAGCAGAAGAAGAAGCCTCGGCGTGCCAATTGTACATACCTCGGCGCGGCGAATGAATGAATGAATGAATATGCTTCAGTCTCTCTCTCCGCAGGGCTCACCATGGCTCCTCTTGTACTCCCATTTTGGACTTCATATTATTAACGTCTCTTCCGAAACAAAACAAAACAAAACAAAACGCGCACACTCACAATTCAATTCAATTCTATTGCCTTTGTCTGATCTAACCATGTGTTGCTTTTTTTAAAGAAAGGAAATTGAATGTTGTTGTGTGGTGTTCTCCAGCTTCTACCTTCGGTGTGTGAAATACATACATAATAAATATATATAGTGTTGATTTCAACACCCACAGTTTCATTTTTTGTTTGTCTCTTTTGTTTTTTTATTTTTTTGTTTTATAGATATAGATAAATATTTAGCTATATATATTGATGGTTCATGTACTTTTGCAATTAGATGACTTGGAATACCTTCTTGTGTATGTTCCATTGGTGATTTCTTTGTCTTGTCATGTTTGTTGCATTCTACAATATTATTAAAGTTTTGGTACCATTACAATTGAATAGCAGAAAATAGAACATAGATTATACAGTTGTTGTAAGGAAATATGATGTTGATATTGATTTACATTTCAGAATTATATTTGGCAATTAAAATTTCTAACATCAAACTATTATATTGAGTGTACTTATTGAAAACAAATACTATGGCTGACATACCTGGTTTTGTATTCTAGTAAATAAAATAATACTTATTATTACAATGCTTTAAGGACTTATTATGCTTTGGAAAACAAAAAAAACAAAAAAAAAAAAAAAAAAAAAAAAAAGAGGGTCAAAAACACAAAATAAAATAAAATAAAAGGTAATTAAAAAGAGAATTATTTATGCACAGAGAATTTGTGAAGGTTAGCAAAATAATGTTATTTTGCAAATATTGACTTACATGATATTTTTTGGGATTTTAGAAAAAATCTTATTTGAGACATATTTTCAATAAATTTATTTATATGTAAAACGTCTTATGATTTTATGAAGAAAAAATATCAGTAATTACTATATTTAGTTCTATCTTGTAATTTATCTTCTATGTTTAATTTTAACTCACTAAGTCCTACCATTAAGTTAAAATTAAGCTTATTATATTTGAAGTGTGTCTTTGTAAACTTCCTAAACAACTAGTATTTAATGTTTTTATGCCAAAGATTAGAATTATGTACATGCTTGTAGCATCGATTTTACATTATTGATTATAAAATTTTATGAAAAAAAAATATTATATTACATAATATAAAAAATACATAAATATTTATTTTATGTTATTGGTTACACTAATTATTTTTATTTTGTCTTTTTCATCTTGGAATTTTTTATCTAATGCTACAAATTTGGCCTTGGTGTGTGCTAATTCCTTTTATATCTACTTTTGTATTTATTGCAATACAAGATTTGGGTGCATATAATTTTGCAATTTTTTCAACTTGTCCAAGGATCTTATTGTTACATAGTAATATTTTGCATACAATATTTTCCTACATTATTCTATCAAATAATCATGTAGTATTCTTACAATTACTTCAAATAAAGCCCAAATTTATTCGAAAATAATAATGATAAATTTTAGATAAACATTTATTGATGCAAATTCTGTTGAATTAAAATTAATATTTTTTGTGCCAATAGGTTATAGTTGTGAAGAATCATGTGTTGGAATTGGTATATGAATGTATGTGGCATTCCCTAGAAGTAAAACTTCCAATAATTAGAATAAATTCAGGGATGGAAAATTATTAACTTCTACAATATTATATTGAAAGAAAAAATTTAAATAAAAGTGCGATAGATTTGCAACTGGCCACGTCATCAATGCCATTTGTCAATTCCACGTCATCAATGCCACCAGTTCTGCCCAACTGACACCTGTCAAGCCCACAGGAGGCAGGAGAACCTTCAGCTTCTCACTGCGAAATTCTACACGTGTTAATTAATTATTGGTTCCCATTCTATCATGCCTTTAACTTTTCGGTCGACGTTTTCTTATTTTCAATTTTGCCAGAACCTAAAAATTTATCCTCATTTGGCTGCTGCCGACAGAGAATGAACAACGAACAGAAGAACCGAAGTTTCATCTATGGACTCGTTTCATGAACAGAACTCGTGAACACGAGATTTAGAAATGGATGAATACGGACATCCATCCGTTTTCCAAGATGGGGTCCCACATTATTCAAAAAAAAGGTCGCGATTTTAGGGTTTTGCTGTCGCTTGGCAAAATGCCTTATTTTTCTCTAAAGGGATCAGGATTTGTATTTCTCGAAATTGAACAGGAGAGACCTCATCGTTGTGGATCGTCGTCACTAACTGACGACGTTCGTCACTGAGTAGATTCGGAAATGGCGGATTGGAGATGATTTGGTGAATATTTTTATTTTTTATGTTTTTTAATACGAATTCACGTTTTTTTCCCCTGATGGGATGTTTTTTTTGTACGAAGTGTCCTTTGGCACATTTCCCCATGCCAATTTGTGTGCCCCAATCACACGATTCACCCGATTCTCGTTTCTTCGTGCTCCATCCACCATTGCGACAACATTCGGCCTCTCGATCACAGGGAAACACCCTCACATCTTTGACATTAATCACGTCTTCCGAGAGGTTTAGTTTCTGTGTCCGGAACGCTTTTCTCATGCATTGTAATGAAAATTCGCCCAGTTCATCGTGCTTTTGAAGTTGAAGAAACTAGTTGAGCTGTATAAACCATGAACGAGCTTCTATAATCAAAAGTGTGGCACTGTATACTTATAATTCTGATTCGTTCTGGTGGTGTGGAAGGGTCTGTTTAGTAGAAGGATTGTCTCGGCTGAGGCGAGAGTTTGATATATATATTTTGTTTGTTAGGCAGGTAGTCAATATTTCCTACAATAATGAACTCCTGACGTCAGGGAGATGATATGCGGCAGAAGTTAATTGGGATTGTACTCGTTGGATTCATTAAATAGGTAGTGGACCTGGACGATATTTTAGCAGATTGCAATGCCTCCGAAGTTGGGTACATAGCCTAAGCTTAAAAGAGTGAGGATTCCACAAGCTTGTCAGAGACGCCCTGCTTCTGATGTGTGCGAGTTTAGATGAGTCTAGCGAATGTTTTCCTCGCTGATTGCTTCAAGCCAAGATCATTTTCTTCAAGGTTCATTAATTCTGCCAGTAGCTCTACACAACAGAATTGAATCGTAGGAAGAGGACCTTTGCAGAAGCTACTGCCAACCTTTTTTACTTGTTATCAAAGTTCAAATGTTAGAGCAAGAATTCAATCACATGTCCAGCTATTTCAAGGATTTTTTTTCGTCAGGATTCACTCGTAATTCAAAACCTGTTTGAAGACTCCGTGGACGATCTTGAGAGGGAGGTTTACACTTCCTTGTAACTGATCGAAAAGGCCGCTTCAGCTGAACTATGGGGTGAGCATTTCCAATTCTGCGCGTTGTCCAGCCGGACCGTTGTGTACAAAGCAATGTTGCGGTCTGAAGTGGTTGGTCTGAAGTTCTACGATGACCTTCGCAACGAGGACTTGACGACTCCATTTACCGATATAACATCGTCGGTTAAGTACCGACACCACACCTAAGTGGCCTCTTGCACAACCAATGAGATTCGTGGGTCACAACGTGGAGATCCATACATGGCAGAGTATTTGAATTGGATGTGATCGCGTGGGGCCACTCTGGAGTCTCCAACTTGACGAGGTCGTGATGACGAGCTGCGCCCATTTTGAAACATTCTGGCTCCAGATTCTGCAGATGTGGATATGGTTGCAGAGATACTGCTACTTTCGTAACCATTGATTTTTTTTCTGGTGGCTTATTTTTGTGAAGTTATCAGCCAAGAAGCTTGATAAATTCGGTTTCATTCAGTTTCTACCCGGAGGTATTTTTCAAACATCCTAGCGTTTCATATATCAAGGTTGTTAACTTTCTCGGACTTGGAAATCGTAATGCTAAACATGATTAATGCCATGTTCTAGATATGTACCATGGAAACAACTCTGAGATGTCGAAGCTCACATAACTCCGTTCCTGAGAAAAACCTAAGTGCATATGCCGTATTCCAGCAACATCTTGCAAATCGGCTAGTCACTGTTTGCCATCTCACTAATAACGTCCTCTATTATGCTTTAGCTCATTATCTGGCTCATTTTTCTGTAAACTGGTGTTGTGTGTCAGACCAAAGACAGTGCTCATTATCAAGAAGAATTTACCTTTTCTAAATTTGGACCTGAATAGTGACTGGTTTCAACTGTTCGTTGATGAATCAGGTCTTGCGAGACCTTGTTGAGTTTGCAAGTAATAGACAGCCGATTTCTTTTAGGAAGTTGAGAATGCATCGAATATGATAGAGCGTTTCGTGAAAGGTGGTGTATGTCCCTTGGGCTATTACTCGTGAGACCCATGAAGTTATTGCCGTAACCATGAACAGAATAGGTGGAAAATCTATTTCTGGAAATCAATGGTGAAGAAAGATATAAAAATTATGATTACACCTCGGCAGTATGATCTCAGTACAATTCATGAACTTATGGAGGGATTAAACAAAAGATCTTTACTCGTGACGGATTGCATTGGGTCTATTCGGTGTTAACCAAAGAGCAACTCGAAATCAAGATTGCTTAAGGTGCAAAGCAAAAGTTTCAGCGAATTTCGTTGCCGGAGCTGGAATTGGAACAGTTGCCCGTGGAGTTGGAAAGGTCAATCCCGAGGTCGTCCATGGCTCAGTCTTGCAAAGACTCTGATTTAACTGTGCAGAGTACGGCGGGTGGAAAAATTGTTATTATACCAGCTGAGGGTTGCGGTTTCAATGCTGAGGATGCCATTTTGTAGCAAACACATGTTTGTATGGAGCCACAGGAGGCCAGTTGTTTGCGAATAAGAAAGCTGGTGAATGGTTTGCAGCCCGTAACTTACAAGCTGAAGCTTTAATCGAAGTAACAGGAGATCATGCTTGTGAATACATGACCAGTGGTTGTGTGGTGGATATCGGCAAGTGCTTCATTTCAGAAAATTCGTGTGTTAACAACGTCAAATGCTACTACTCATTGAGGTCGCATATGAAGAGAAGAGATCATATCTTCGAACGTGTATGTTGTGTTTACAAGGTGCGTCGCAATGTTGCTGCTTGTTTGACTGAAGGTCTTGGGTACTTTTCCCTGGATGAGGATAACAGTTTTATATATATTATGCATTAGCTTCACCACGATTGCACGTGCGCATGAAGGCACTGAATTTGCGTGCATGTGATGTCTTCCATAGAAGTCCTTGGCTAGTTAATGTGGATTGAATCCCGAACATTTGACACTCTTATCTCCAAGGTCAATACGTAAGGAACTTTTTGTGATATTCGGATGCTTTAGGATGAGACTGTCAGCGAAGAAAGCTAAAGAGATTCTGGCTAACTTGGAGAAGTCCCTTCTCCTCTTTTTTTCTGGCAACTGGTGCCACCAAGCGAGGAAGAGACTCCCGAAATCAATGCCAATATGGTAGATTAAAACATAGAAAGTATTGTGACCCAATTGGCTTAAAACAGTCACACCTCTGGCATCTGTGCTTGCAGCTACTTACTAACCATAGCCACCTGGTTAACTGAAATCGGTACATGGGTATGATAAATGTTGGTGTAATTACATTGCATCAAAACATTATTTTAAATTAAGAATGGAAGGGGAGCGGTGGTCATGATTTGAAGTGGTGAAAAGAAAAAATAAGATAGAGAATGCTTTATGCTCACTCGTTGATATCAAAGGTGATGTCGGCGTCATGGGGATGTAGCTCAGATGGTAGAGCGCTCGCTTAGCATGCGAGAGGTATGGGGATCAATACCCCACTTCTCCAGCACATAAATCTTAATCGTTACTATTAGCTAACGATCTAACATTACCCTGAAAATCTTGATGTTAGTTGGAGTTTTTCATTTATCTAGCTTAAACCAATTTTATTTTTCTAATAAAAAATAAAAATAGAAAGGCATTGTTTTTTAACTTATATCTAACAACAGTTATGGAACTTTAATCTTTCTAAATATTCAAAAGTAATTTATGAGGACGTTCAACTGTTTCTAGAAGATTAAAAAGAAATTGAATTAAAAAACACTCTGTAAAGAAATGTATATAATAACATTATTTTTTCTTATTAAATTTTGACTATAATTGTCTTGAAATACTTTTTCCTTCTTTACAATGAGTTTATCTCATTTTCATTATGAATATTATAATAATACCACTTGTAACAAAGTAAATGACTTGGAAATGATTCAATAATAATTATTACCAAATTTTAGTTTGAATTATATTTAAGTATATGATTTTTTTTATAATATTGGTTTTTCATAATTTTTTTATATATTTTCTAGTACTAATAATTTATGATATCTTGATAATTGTTCTCAGAAGAACAATATCTTTCCTTTTCTTTTCCTCTCTCTCTCTCTCTCTCTCTCTCTCTTTTTTTTTTTTTTTTTTTTTTTTTTTTTTTCCTCCCATTCTGCAATAAAAATAAATTACATATAGTCAGTAAAGCATAACTCATGAAGAGTGTAATTTATGATGTAATTGTCATTCTTTTCCATGTAAAATTTGAAGGATAGGTGGTACGATCTTTAAAAAAATTACACATAATCCCCCAAAATGTGGTGTGCTGCAGTGTGCCGTGTAAGTTAATGAAGCTGTAAAGGTATTTTTAATGGTTTTTATTCTTTATGTTCTAAAGAATAGAGATCTATTTTCTAAGTCTGCAGGTTGGCTTGGCTTGGCATGATTCTGTAAATGAAAGACCACCAGATTTTGCAGAATCTTTTTAGTAAAATGTTAGGTTCCATTTTCTTGGAGGTCGCGCAATAGATACACATCACTTACAATTTCAATAGTAGCAAATTCTTGGAATTGGAATAAAGCTAATTCAATATATCTAAATATCAGACTACTTGGGTTTTATCCACATTTGGCTTATATAAAAGATAAATACAATAAAAGATTATGTAAAATGCTTAGATAGAAAATAATATATATATATATATATATATATATATATATAAAAAAGAGAGTGATGTATTTGACTTTCATGACACATTGGGTTAATTAACTAAAACCTGGCCAAACAAATACTAGCTTCTAACTTAATTCATTTTTGTAATCGCACAAAACTTGGATCTCATTATCTTCCTTTCTCTATGCCTAGAACAAAATGTACAACAACCCTATATTCTCTCCAAATACATTTACCAATAATAGGGCTATATTTCAAAAACATAACAAAAAAGAACAAAAAAGAACATATATATACATATACATATACACACATAGTTTATGGATAAGCAGAAATGAACACACAGAGATAGATGATTCTTATTCACACTAATCCAGCACGAAGTTCTGTGGAATTTAAATACAAAATGCCTGAAGAAATTCAGCAGGAGAAGGAGGACTTAGCTGCACACTGTGAGCCACACTGATACCCACTTTAGGAAGAATATTCCTGATTCCAATATGATTTATTATTCTATTTTGCTACACCAGCAATTCAAGCAAAAATACAATCAGTCAAATGGGTCAGCTAAGGAAGCGGATTCTGACCCACTTCATGTTTTGCTTACCACACAGTGCCTACAAATTCCAAGCGGATTGCGTGGATCACTTGTGAACCCTAAATGTGGAGAGAAAAACACAAAACCAAAAAAACAAAACAAATCCTAAACTTTAACTGATTTTTTTGGTTTTTGTAAGAGTTTTTATATTTTCCAAGCATGTTTAGCTTTCATTGTGATGAACAATTGAGCAATTCTAGCACTTTCAAGTGCCTATTGTTTAGGTGCTTTTCCTCTCAAAGTGTCAAAGAGAGACTTGTTAAAATGGTATTGATATAAACAAGTGAATAAAAATATTGCATTTAAAGAAGAATTAAATTGTGAATTTTGCAAATTGAAAGAATGACAAGAGTTTTTTTTTTTTTTTTTTTTTTTTTTTTTTTTTGCGAAAATTCTAAAACAAAGCAATTTTTTGTCACAAAAATTCACTGCAAATATAGTTATTTAAGTATTTTTAATTTTAAAAGAATCATAATAACAAAACGTGCAATAAAAATCCATTCAAAAATCACATAAATTATTTCTATAGTACTAACTAATACTTTATTTAAAATGATAAATAACAAGAGTATATATTAAAATAATTAAAACAACATTCTCAATTCAGTGATATATATATATAGAAAAATATTAAAATAATCCACTACCGTGGGGAACTAGGGAATTAGGATGAGAGCTAGGAACAAAGAGAGAGGAAATGGGGGGTCAAAATGAAGAAGGTTGAGAACAAAGGGAGCAAGGTCTGGGAACAAGGGAAGTAGGGATAAGGGCCATGATTGTAATGATGGTTACAATAGGGTGGGTCAATTTAGTAAATGGGTGGGTCATTTTAACATTTCTCTCTCTTTATATACATACACATCAAAATAAATTGCAACCAGTTCTTATCTCCATGACAACGTCCAAAGATCACTTTACTATCTAGAAACCAACAGTTTCACTTTGAGCATTAAAATATATAAAATATAGAACAATCTTACAAACTAGGAACCAACTGTTGGGGCATATCAAGTCCAGCACAGAGAAAGCGAGAGCAAGCAAAAGGGAGGAAGCTATCAAAACAACATTCTTATATATTCCTAAACGCAACAAAATAACAAAACTAAAGTAAATAAAAAATAAAATGATAAAATAATAACGATATGGCCCTGCGCGGGCCCGTGGGGCCACAACGTCGACATGACTGAAACAGTCGGAGGGCATTTCAGCCAATGTCAGGCATGGGCCGCAGAACCGTCGAGGAGAACCCCGGAACTGTCGTGCGGGGCCAGAGAGTAAAAGAGGCTATTCATTAAAGAGCAAGGGAGCCTCTCTTCTCAGTTTCATCACGCTCTCTCTGTCTGTTCTGTTTCTTCACCCCCTCTTCATCGTTGCATTGGAGCAATTTAGGAGGAGTAGCGATGGCGCCCTCCTCTGCTGTGCTGTTCAGTGCTGCTGATTCTACTGTGTTGTTTAGTGCTTCATTGCTGGACCAGAGAGCTTCGGTGCTTGGTCGCGCCAGCTCCAGCGTTTTCGGCGACGCGCTGCGCTGCTGCAGCAACAGCAGCGGCGATGCTGCGCTGCGGTTATCGAAGCCGGCCTCGCAGCCGGTGAGTGTAGTTTGTGTAGCTGATTTGGTTTTCAGTGATTGCATTGGACTTTATGTGATCGGGCGGGTGGACGATCGTTGGTGTTCTCTTTCGGTTGGTTGTGATTGTTTTTTTGTTTTTTTGTTTTTTTTTGTTTTTTTGTTTTTTTTTGGGGGGGGTTGTGGTTGAATTCGGTGACGTAATGGTTTTTTCTTAGGTCCAGCTGTACATGCTACATCGCGCAGTTTCTTCGTGTGGTCGGTAAATATAGGTTAGAATTCTTGTGGCTGGTGCGATTCTTCGCCGCATTCTAAGCGGGTTTTCCCGTTTTAGGTGCTTTGTTTCCTGTCTGATTTGTGAATTGGTTTTTGCGGTTTGTTCTCTGTGATGCGGATTTCGCATTCGTCCCCCCCCCTTTTTTTTTGACATGTTTTTCAGTCCAGCTTTTGGGCACTCGTCTTACGCTTCTTTCTCTCACGCTTTGCTGCTGTTTGATTGATTGTAATTGTAAATCCTTCCGAAGCCCTGTGATGGAAAGTTATTAATGAAAATCCCCTATCTCCTTTAGAGTATTTGGCTTCTTTTCAGCTGCATTTATTCTTCGCGTCAGCAGAAGGTAGTTGAAGGGTGCTTGTGAACTTTTATGATTGTAGGCACACGTGCAGATATAATTTTACATAATTTGCGTTCCTTATTCAAATGAAAATTGTCATTGAGCAAGGTGAAGAGCTGTATTTTGTGTCGTCTTGAATTCTTCACGCTCTCTCATGTCCTTTGGTTTGGATGAGCGATTCTGCCAGGAGTGGAGCTATCTCTTTGTCATTCTTCAACATCATTAGTTCTGATTTACGTTTTCTTTATCTATTGTCTGCTTTTCGGCTCTGCATTACTTATCTTCACAGTTTTTTCGCCCACTGTCTAGTTTTGGGTGAGATACTTTTTCTTTTCTGTCCATCACTACACTAATCTATTGTTTAGTTTCAACCAGGATTGTTACCGATCTTTAGACGCGAAGCACGTACCCAATATTTAGGATATTGTTTAGACTAAAACGTTATTTTATTATTTTTATTATATCACGTGCTCATTATGTAGGTTTGAATTTACGTAAGCTTTTATATCATTTGTTAAGACGTGGCTAGGAAGGAAGCGCTCGCTACCGCTTTTTCAAATCTTGGCCTGTGTCTTTTAAGATTTGCAACCCCATGACTTTTAGCCGTTTTCATGGAGTAGTCAGGTCTTATGTGTCCCACCGCAGATTCTGGCGTGTTTCATTTGATGCTCTGACTGTTGTCATTCTTCAGTTACATGCTCTCAAGGACGTAGCCTTGGATTAGACTGCAGAAGAAATTTGTTATCTTTTCTTTGAGTATTTAGTTTTGCTTTTGAGTCATTCAAAATGGACCTTGTGTATCCTTACAGAAACATATCGTTGCAAATTCTTCGACAAATTCTGTTTCTTCGAAGGGGAGGGTATTTGTGCCTCCCATGCATCAGGACAACTGGAACAATCTGTCGTTGGGCTCACGGACTCTAACTGATCTGGGAGTGCGGGAGTTACGAAACGCTAATAACCGGTTGAAGATCTTTTCTGGCACCGCCAATCCGCAGCTTTCTCAGGTACATGCTCCCTCAAGACACGTAGCTTAGAAAGTATCAGGTCAGAAGTGTTATTTATTTGTTTATTTTTATTTTCATTTTTTTTCCTCTTTCCATGTGTGCTTACCGTTTGTCATTTGAGGAACCGTTGCATATTCGTGATCTCTGGGTTTTGTCTGTAGGAAATAGCTTGTTACATGGGCCTTAATCTAGGCCAGATCAAAATCAAGCGTTTTGCGGACGGTGAAATCTACGTGCAGCTCGAAGAGAGTGTACGCGGTTGCGATGTATTTCTCGTGCAACCCACTTGCCCACCTGCCAACGAGAATGTGATGGAGCTGCTGATCATGATCGACGCTTGTCGACGAGCATCAGCAAAGACCATCACTGCTGTGATTCCATACTTCGGTTATGCTCGGGCAGACCGAAAGGTTAGAAGATTGGTTTTACGGGGTCCCTTCTGACTCAATCCAGTCCAACGTTTATCACTTAGGAACGTCCTTGTTAGTCAGATTGTGTGTCAGCGATACGGAGCTTTTTGTTTTATTGTACTTATAATTTTTATATTGGTGCCACTGTCTTGACAGACTCAAGGTCGAGAGTCGATTGCTGCCAAACTGGCTGCCAATCTCATCACTGAGGCGGGGGCAAACCGTGTGCTTACCTGCGACCTCCATTCTGGACAGTCGATGGGCTACTTTGATATTCCGGTTGACCATGTCTATGGTCAGCCGGTCATCCTCGACTATCTTGCGAGTAAGATGATATCCTCGGATGATCTGGTGGTGGTATCACCTGACGTGGGTGGAGTTGCTCGCGCTCGAGCTTTTGCGAAGAAATTGTCAGATGCCCCTTTGGCTATAGTAGACAAGAGGCGGCACGGTCATAACGTCTCTGAGGTATTTTTTTCGTCTTCAATGTTCATGACTTTGGTTTTCTCTACGATAAGGTTCTTAGAGCTAGGGTTTGTTGCTAGTGTGTTTCATCGTTCTCCTTCTTGATGACCTACGTACAAACACTTGCCTTCACCAATCAATTTGAAAATGTGTTCTTTACAGCGGATTGACCCTATGATGGAATTAAAAGTTGGTTTGGATTGCCGTTACTGAAGTTGATGTTGAACGACGTGCAGGTTATGAACCTCATCGGAGATGTGAAAGGAAAAGTGGCTGTTATGGTTGACGACATGATAGACACTGCTGGTATGAGGTTTTCAGCTGAACTTATGAATTTAATCGCTACAGAGTGTTATGATTTTTGCTTATTTATGCAAAAACACGCGGTGCCATATCGTTACTTTCCCTCATTCTCAATTCCTATGCTCCATACAGGTACAATTGCAAACAGTGCCGCTCTTTTACACGCAGAAGGAGCGAAAGAAGTGTATGCTTGCTGCACACATGCGGTCTTTAGGTGAGTTCCACGACATCAAACTCAATTTAAATTACCAAGGTTTGTGGATGTTTGCATGCTGAAAAGTACTTGTATGATGTTTGCTTTATTTGGTATCAGAAGATTTTGAATACTTTTTCAATGGAAAGAAATGTCGCATCATAAGGAGCATGATTATTGAGCATTGAAACCATTGTAACTATTGCTCACACTTTCTTTCATGGGATCGTGGTAATTTTTATGAGAATTGGATGTGCGCTCTTCTTCATGTCTACCTGTACTAACATGCATCTTCTCCTTGATAGTCCACCTGCAATTGAGCGACTGTCAGGAGGTCTGTTTCAGGAGGTCATAATTACCAACACGATTCCTGTACAGGAGGGGAACTACTTCCCGCAGCTGACTGTATTGTCAGTTGCCAATCTTCTAGGGGAGACAATATGGCGTGTTTATGATGACTGTTCAGTGAGCAGCATCTTTCGATGATCGCCGCCACTACTTCTACGGAATGCCCCAATTGCAACCTCTTCAGTGTCATAGGATTTTGTGACTGCTTTCAAACACATGCTCCCTTCCAGATCGCTTTGTCTCTGGAATGTTGAGCCAGTTTCTCAATTTTGTAGGATAGGAATTTTCGTATTTATCACTGAGAAAACCACTATGTACTCCCTGTCAGTGGACCCAGCATACAACCTGTGATATGCTGCGAGGGTTTTTTTTGGTGGCCACTAAAATCACATAGAACCTTAGTGAAGTACCTTGGTTTTGGTCCTCTTTAATTAAACTTGTACTTTTTAAGTATTACTTGGTGTCGTGTATTAATAGGTTGAGGTGCCCAACTGATCTGGAGTATTCTCTGGTGTCGGCTTAGGCCTGTTCTGCAGAGAGAGGGCTCATAAACGCTTAACCCTTGTTCACAAAATGAAGTGCATATGTCCTGGCAGGGCGATCTGTGAGTTACCAGGTACCGCTTCACGACAACTTCTTGTGTGCTCAAGATGTATTCACTTGTGCGGAGAAAGGTCAGCAGGTTCTCCCGTTGTGACTATCTCTCATTGTATCTATATTCTCTTTTTATTCCACAATATTTCGTATCTACCATGAGATTTTGGGCTTTTAATTGTTCCTTGTTGTGAGGTGTGATTCCTTGTTCGTTGAAGTGAATGGTAAATATCTGTTTTTTCACGTCTATCTTGGACAGAACAATTATAATGCAGCTGTATTGCTTTACAAATCTGCTAACTCTGCTGACTAAGCACTCCAAAATCTGTGCATAACTTCCAACTTAAGATTTTCTAAGCAGATCACTATGTAGTAGAAGGATTATCAAAATGTCATGTTGTACATATTTTCGATATATATATGCACTGTGCACGGCGTAGATGTATGGTATTGTTTAAGTTGTATGTAAATAGTGTGAAATTATATCATGCTGAATATGAGTAAGTTCAACATAATAATCCCAACAATGAATGGGCATGTTACACTAATTTTATGTGTAATACTTGCACAACATTTTTTACAAATCTGACTAAAAGCAGAAGAAAGAAGAAAAAAGAAAAATGTTGTACAGAAAGTCCTCATTTGAATTTGAATCAATGATGCCATGTTAATTTTTATTTACTATTGTTCTGATTTAATAACAAATCATAGTACTTATTTTGTTAAAAACTTTTTTTTTTTACTTCTTTTGTCCACAAACAAACGAACTGATATATTATATGACAATATTTAAACCATTTGGTTATTTGAAATAACAAATTCAGATGAATATATATATATATATATATATATACATACATACATATTCACATACACACACACACATACACATTTGTTAGCACATAGATTTGATGATTTTTCAAGCACACCTTAGAATAATCAACTGTAAATTTGTTTGAAGGAAAAAGAAAAGAAAAGAAAAGAAAAAAGATACATTATATTTATGTATGTGTATACCCATTTCAGAGGTCGGATTAACGAAAATGATTATCTGCAGAACACTTGATTACATGGTTAATTTTACTGTTTAATTTGCGTTTGATTTTTTTTGGGGGGGGGGAGGGGATCCACACAAGCAAACGGCTGATTCTTTGATAATATCGTAAGTTCACAACGTATAAAATACGAATACAAATACTTATATACGTATAGTATGCATGAGGGCGGGAGTATCGGAATTGAGAAAAGCGGATTTCTCTCGCCGTCGCGTGCGCTCCCGCTTGTTTCTTTAAATTGTTGGATCGATTCCCTTGGAGCCTTCCGGAGCTCAGAGAGGAGCTTGATTTAGGGAGCTCGGAGCTGCAACTCTTGATCGCTCGCGTGATTGAAGCTCATCTCGCTGCGCGTGGATCTCGTCGCCACCTTCCACTTGATCCTTTCCTCGCTAGATTTAGTTCAAACCTCGTAGAGCACTGGTTATTGTGTCTCTATTGACACACACTTTCGAGCTTACGATTCGTGGAGCTTCTCGTTGATTCGAATGGACTTCGTTTCTTTTAGTACGCAAGGAATAGGTCTCGACACATGGTCGCGCTTGTAAGTGTAAGTCATCTGCTTTGTGTGCCACCTCATTCGTAGGCAGTTGGTGGATCTGCTTGTCACGTTACTTTTTGATTAGAGTCTAGATCGTTTTTGCAGAACTGCTTTGTGGTGCTGGATTTGAGTCTCTAGAAATGTGGAATGGTTGTCTCTCTGGAATTGGTCGAACTTCTTCCTTCTCAGCATTGGAGGATTTCGTTCCCCTTGTTAAAGCTTCATTCTCACAGTTTCACCTCGCAGGGTTTTGTTCTATCTCAAGTTGTTCTGAATGTTCATAATTCTCTTTCACCACTTTCGATATCAGACGTAGAGGTAGTGACGTAGTCGGTTTTAGTTGGACCATTTTTCACCTCATTCGTGCGTACAGATTGTCTAGTTACAATAGCCCAGATTTGCGTTTTGCTCCGCCGAATGTATAGCTGGTTCAGAGCCAGATATTACTCTCACTCGTATATCCAGTTTGTGCACAATAATTACTTGCTTACCACAGTTATTTCATCATGTTCGAAGCAATGGCTTTCCGATTATGTCGCAGCGTTTCTTATGAAGAATGCCTTACTAAGTCTATCAGTCCTTCTGAAATATAGTCCTTTTCTTCGTCATCGAGGATGTTATGCTGTGGCCACAATATTCAGTGATCTTAAACGTGTGATCTTTTAATCTTCACAGAAGGGCGTGAGGGCCTGCTTTTCTCCCTATCGATGTTAATGTATAATATGAATACTCTTCTTTAGTGATTCTTCAGGTTCAGTCGTGTGATTTGTCTTCAAGGATGCTGAATGTGCAGATGTCTCCAGGGTAACTATCATCAAGCAGAACTTCAGTGCCTGGATAGGTTGGTCTTCGTTCTCATAAACGCAGGAAAAAGGTACAGTTCGTCATCTCTTCCAAGTCTAATTCTGGAAGGCTTTGCTTTGATCAAGTTCTCTGTTGATTTTGGTTTCTCAGTGCTCAAATTGGATAGAGATTTTGTATTCGTATGGGGATATTAATCAATTTTTTTTCGCGACACCGTTAAGAGAGTTTGCATTTTGAATTTCAGAAGATTTTGATTCGCTGTCGAGGAAATTACGATGAAATGTGTGTGCGGGTGTAAAAAGAGCTTATGTCACTAAATTTTGGTTTGTTCGTATCTCAGAATCATTATTTGATCATGGCATTTCATCGGCGGAGTTGTCTTGGATTTCTAGTGCTTCTCTGGTGTGCTCCTTCGGCATTCGGTGCATTTAAGGCCAGGAAGATTGGACCTGTGGGACTGGAGACAGTGGATTGGGACAGTTCAAACGCAATAAACCATCTGGGTTCGAGGATAGCGAGGTCTCTTTTGCAGAATTCTGAAGGTAATTCCGGCGACTGGAAACGTGAAGAGGAAACAAAAGAGTGGAAGTCAGAGGAGAACCAGGAAATAGTGAAGGTAGAGGAAAGGAAGGAAGAATGGCAGCCCGAGGAGAAGCACGAAGAAGTGAGAGTTGATGAACATAAGCATGAGTGGAAGCCTGAGGAGAAGCACGAAGAAGTGAGAGTTGATGAACATAAGGATGAGTGGAAGCCTGAGGAGAAGCACAAAGAATGGAAGACTGACGAGAAGCATGAAGAAGTGAGGGTCGATGAACACAAGGAAGAATGGAAGCCCGAAGAGAAGCTTGAAGAAGTGAGGGTTGATGAAAACAAGGAAGAATGGAAGCCTGAAGAGAAGCACGAAGAAGTGAGGGTTGATGAACACAAGGAAGAATGGAAGACTGAAGAGAAGCATGAAGAAGTGAGGGTCGATGAATACAAGGAAGAATGGAAGCCCGAAGAGAAGCTTGAAGAAGTGAGGGTTGATGAAAACAAGGAAGAATGGAAGCCTGAAGAGAAGCACGAAGAAGTGAGGGTTGATGAATACAAGGAAGAATGGAAGACTGAAGAGAAGCATGAAGAAGTGAGGGTCGATGAACACAAGGAAGAATGGAAGCCCGAAGAGAAGCTTGAAGAAGTGAGGGTTGATGAACACAAGGAAGAATGGAAGACTGAAGAGAAGCATGAAGAAGTGAGGGTCGATGAACACAAAGAAGAATGGAAGCCCGAAGAGAAGCTTGAAGAAGTGAGGGTTGATGAACACAAGGAAGAATGGAAGCCTGAAGACAAGCACGAAGAAGTGAGGGTTGATGAACACAAGGCTGAATGGAAGACTGAAGAGAAGCACGAAGAAGTGAGGGTTGATGAGCATAAGGAAGAGTGGAAGGCTGAAGAGAAGCACGAAGAAGTGAGGGTTGATGAACTTAAGGAAGCATGGAAGCCCGAGGAGAAGCACGAAGAATGGAAGCCCGAGGAGAAGCACGAAGAATGGAAGCCTGAAGAGAAGCACGAAGAAGTAAGGGCTGCTGAACACAAGGAAGAATGGAAGCCTGAAGACAGGCACGAAGAAGTGCGGACTGATGAACATAAGGATCAATGGAGGCCTGAAGAGAAGCACGAAGAAGTGAGGGTTGATGAGCATAAGGAAGAATGGAAGCCTGAAGAGAAGCAAGAAGTGCGGGCTGATGAGCATAAGGAAGAATGGAAGCCCGAGGAGAAGCACGAAGAAGTGCGGGCTGATGAGCATAAGGAAGAATGGAAGCCCGAGGAGAAGCACGAAGAAGTAAGGGCTGATGAGCATAAAGAAGAATGGAAGCCTGAAGAGAAGCACGATGAAGTGCGGGCTGATGAACACAAGGAAGACTGGAAGCCTGAGAAGAAACACGAAGTGAAGGTAGAGGAACAGAAGGAAGAAGTGAAACATGAGGAAGAAGAATGGAACCATGATGTTACACATGAAAAGAGCGAGGAGTTGCAGACTGAACAAAATTCGGAGACCAAACCTGAGGACACCAGAGAACAGAAGCTACAAGAAACAACACAAGTATCCCAACAAGAAGAGAAACTAGAAGTGCAGTCCGACGAATATTCAAAGAGAGATGGGAATGCAGGATTTATGTCGCAGGCAAGCAATGCTCAGCATGCCGCAGATTCGGAACAGAAACAGCCGGAAGAGCACATGCAAGGTTTGATTATGCTGAGTGAGCACCAGGAGAAAATAGCACGACGTGATCAGGAAATGAGAGATCGGGAACAATTGGCGAAGCACATCCAGGATCTTCATGAAGAGCAAGATCAGTTCGACCTCAACAAGGAGCACTTGCCATCGCATCACGAACAAGTGTACACCCCAATTCATCTCAACGAGGAACACGTGCCATTCCACCATGAGCAAGAAGAATCTGATAATCGCGCAATTCACGATGATTGGACATCTTGGGAGCACAATGAGGTCTTGGGACCAGATGACAAGAAGATGGAGTGGAGTCACGAAGAACAAAAATTTGTGGAGGTTAAAGAAGGGCATGAGTTGAATTTCAATGATGTTGAGAGCACACACCGCTATGGTCATCTCGTCGCACATGATGAAGAGGTGGATGTGTCACCTATAATTCCTGAGCAGGACGTTGACAGCGTTGGAGAGATGGAAAAATTTGTCTCACACGAACAGAACGTTAATCCGGTTGCGAAGGATGATAACAAGCAGGAGGTTACTGAAGACGTTGGAACGGACATCACAGTAGAGAAGTCAGATGTTGAAGATGGAAGCGCCGCTGAACGGAATTACACTGACGTTTCTGCTCCAGGTGAAGAAATTGCAGTGCAACGCAGTCGTGCTCCTGATAATGAGCAATCGTCCGAGGCTTTCCCATCTGAGAGCCAAGATAGGCAGGTCGAATCTGTAGACTTTTCTGAACACTTAACAAAGAACATCAATGTGTTCTCGGATCAAACCAAGACTCATTTCGTGAGAGTTAACCAAGACCTCACGATCACGATCATGCCCTTTCTGGGAAACAAGCATGCCTCACTAGTGGCATCAGCGATTTCCTACTGCCTGTTACTAATTCCCTTGGCATTAGTCTTCTTCGTTTGTGAGCAAGCACGGGAGTTTCTGACTTTGCAGAAAGCCATCCTTTTTGCCAACATTTACCTTGCTGTGTACTTCGAGCTTCTACTGGTGGCAGCCCTTGGATTAGGATCAGAGCCTATGCAAAGATTCCAAGAGTTTTCTCCGTCTAGTTACTTGGTTCTACAGCTCCTGCAGGCGTTCGGCTACATTCTGTACCTTACTCTCCAGACAGCCGATCTAACCTTAGTCTTCGCCAATGGAACGGCTATTGCGAAGTCCTCTGCAACGGTGCAGATTGTGGTGGCAGCAATGATCGGCATTCACTACTACATCACTGTATTTGTCAAAGCTACCCAAGGTAAGGCGCCTGCGACATCTTGGAAAGCTTATGCATTCTACAGCATTGCGTTTATGACGCTGTGCCTCTTTGCGAGGATCAAGCGTAGTAAGAAAGACTATCGTCCTGTGGGAAGCGAGACCACAGATAAGAAAAACTGAAACTTTTCGGCATTCATTCTTTAAGTCAGTTCCACTGGCTTCTTGTTTTATAAGGTAGCATCGAGATCGCATTAGTTGAAACGATAGGAATGTTAGGATTACCCATCCACATCGCGTAGTCGAAGGATTTTGAAAGCGTTTTTTAATGCTTTCTACTCTCGTGAAGACCTTACCGTGTACCATTGGTTGTAGCTACATGTGACGAGGTTATGTGACGATGGATCAAGTGACTAACTTTCTTCGAGTTAGCTCTAGGAATTCCCCATTCTGTATCAGCCCCCTTCGTTCGCATGTTGGGAGTGCTGGAGTTATTACAGTCTGCAAGGCTATTTACCCTAGGCAATTGTTCATTCATTTTATTCATTCCTAGCGAACAACTGACTAGAGAGTAGAAAACATTTTGGGATCAATTGAGGTCCTGGCAAGTTGAGAACATTATTTGATATGGTTCAGTGTTTACGCATTAAATTGTCAGGGGCCATTTACATTGCTTGACAAACAATAACTTGGGTACAGTTCAGTTGTGGTGGTAGATAAAGTAGCAATCACTCTGCAATTGGTGAAATAAATGCTTCCATGATTCAGTTTATTATGCTTGAAAAATCACACAACATTACTAGCCCTTGAGCGAAGCAGGGTTCAAACAGAGGTGGAAATTGGTAGTGGGAGTTATTACAAAGCCACTCGCTTCTTCTGAAACCCTATTCTTCATTAAAACTCTGATGTGGCATCGTGCATAGAAGATACTGTACATACTACCCTTGGGGTTTGTTTAGGGGGTGTTCATGAACAATATTTTAATCATAAATTTTATTATTCTATGTAGCTTATGTGGTTATAACCATAAATGTATATATAACATAACAATTGAACTTACTTTTTGTTACAGTATATTAATAATAGTATTTCATATATATGTGAATGTTTATGTTTATATATATATATATATATATATATAAACTATCACATATATATGAAATACTTGTATTATTATTATTATTATTATTATGATTACTATTAATTTTATAAACTGATTGTTACATAAAAATTAAATCTATATATATATATATATATATATTTCTAACTTTCTATTTTTTGGTGTATACATAGAAACTTTGTCAAGTTGTGATTTAGTATTTTATTCACTTAGTTGAATTCCTTTTTGTTATAATATAAGATATCATGGTAAATATAATTATAATATTTTGCAAGAAAATAATTGCACATGTAGAATTTTGACTTAAAATAATCAATTTTTCTAATCCTTCATGCTTCTACTAAGTTTCATGTATATATATATATATATATATATGTATATATGTATTTTTTATAATGTTATAAAGTAAACATATTTGTTTTAAAAAATTGGCACTACAATAATCAACTTCAATGGTCAATCATTATTAAAATCATTTTATATTTTGAAATTTATGATAAAAAATTATAGAATATTAATATATATAACTATATATAATTTATAGTTAGAAATTATATATTTTTTTAAGTATTCATTCCTTCAACTTGCATTAAGGTATGTAAATGTCACTTAATATAATAAATAGCCATATCCACTAGTATATTTACTTAGATAAGTAGAATTATATAAAAGTAAGTAAAAATAGATTAAATTATTAATATCATGTTAAAAAGCTTCTTAGAAGCTTTATAGACTTTATACTTATTTATAAGTAATTGGTAGGTTGATAACTTGGCTACATGTTATACATATAGCCACTTATATTATAAGTTGGCCATACAATACATTTGTCAAAAACTTGATCCTATAAATTAGACAAATGTCTTACAAGTTGGATATGTTTTATGGTCTATAGAACATTGCAATATAGTTCTTTAGTAGATAGTATATATGAAGGTGAAATTGAGGTCTTTATGATTCTCTTTAAGACCATTTTTATGCTCTATTTTGATTCAAAATTTTCTTGTCATTTTACATTTGGCAATAGTTATTATAGTTTTAATTCTTTATTTATTTTTTAATTATCTATTTTTTTAGAAAATATGAGATAATAATAATAATAATAATAATAATATTTTTTATTGTTTGTATTTGCAATAGTGTCAAGGACATGTATTGTAAACAATTAAAGAATCAATATACTCTTGTATTACAAGAAAAGAATGAATATTCATATAAAGATAGTATAATATTAAAACTTGAATTGCTATTAGAAAAGACAAGAGTAGAGCCACTTGAAACAAGATTAAGAATAAGAAAGATATTGAGAATAAAAAATGCATCACTCTTGCTTTTATATATATTATCTAACTAATAACTAAGTTTTGACATTCTATTAGACTTCAAATACATGTCTAACTTGCAAGACACATGTCTAATTAATAAGGTATGTTTAATATGTTTGTGCCACATAATCAATTTGAACTACAAATAGCCAACTTATTGGCTAAGGTTTTAACTTATTAATTACTTATAAATACATATTAAGTCAAATCTGCATCTATGAAGCTTTTCTATAAGATATTATATAATTTATATACTTTCATTTATTTCTACCTAATTCTTCTTATTTAGGTAATTAAAAATATAAATTATATTAGTGACAAATAATTTGACAAAGATGCTAATTTTTTATAATTCTTTGGTTTTAAAAATGATTATATATTGTTATTTTTTATTGAAGTATTTTAAAGGCTGTAAATTATTTATTTATAATTTCTAATATTGATTCTTTTCTTAAATTGAGTAAATTATCACATTTTATAAAAAAAATTATTTGATATTAGAAGTTACAAATTAATTTGGTTTAATTTGACTTGTAGATTTTTTGTAGTCTATTATAAAGATAGAAAGAAAAAAAATTGTAGATACTACACTTGGTAGAAGTAAGAATAGAATTTTAACTATTGCTAATCTTTAGAAGCTTATTAATAATCTAAGGTCATAAATTTTACATATCACTAATATCAATCGTAGAAGTACTATTTCTATATATATAAAAGAAGTCAATAATGAAGTCCAATGTCAATGTCAAAAAGTTGTGTAGTTAAAAGAAGCAAGTAGATCAACCTTACAAGTGAATCCAATTTTTTTTTACTACTACAAGTATAAAAGAAACAAAGATTAGTATGCCAAAGAAGTTAGATGGAATAAGATCAAAACCTCTAGCAAGAACTCTTATCTTGTTTCTAAAGAAAAATAATGGATCTCTACAGATATGCATAGACTATTGAAGACTTAATAAGATTATGATCAAGAAAAGGTATCTTTTATCTTTGATTTTAAGAATTTTTGACCAACTCAATCAAGCAAAGATCTATACAAAAATAGATCTATATGGAATATACAACTTAGTCCACATAAAAGAAAGAGATGAATAGAAGACTACTTTTCAAACTAGGTATGGACATTTTGAATATAATGTCATGTCTTTTAGACTCACAAATACTTGAGTCACTTTTTAACATCTTATGAATGATATTTTTTATAAATTTCTTGATGATTTTATCATTTGTTATTCAAAAAATGTTCTAATCTATTCTAAGAATATAAAAAAATATGAACTTCATATTCTTTATATGTTATAAAAAATTAGATATATAATATTATATACTAAGATAGAAAAATATGTATTCCACAGTATTTAAGTTGACTTCTTAGAGTACATTATTTCTAATAAAGGTCTTGTAATGAATTCTAAGAAGATCTAGACTATTATAGATTAGAAGATTTTAAAAATAATAAGAGATTTATAATGCTTTTTGAGCTTTGCCAATTACTTCGAAATTTTTATCAAGAACTTTTTTCAAGTTGTAGCTTTACTTACACGTTTGATTTATAAAGACAAACTTGAATAGAATAAAAAAACTAAAAAGATCGTTTGATGCTTTAAAAGAAGAATTTATTTCAACACCAATCTTGTTGTTAGGGACCATATACAAAACAAGGATTCAAGACCAAGAAATAGAATTAGCTAGACATTAGAACAATAAGTGGATACAAAGCAAGGTCTTGACTAAACAAGAAGAAGTGAATTGTCGAGACTGAGGATCCCCTCAGCCTCAGCTCCTATGTATACTAGGTTCTAGGAAGCTTCTTGAGAAGTTTTTATAGGGCTTCAGAACAAAGTAAGCCTAAGATCCTTCTTTAGTAACTTCCTAAATTATCTAAAGCCTCCTAGAATCTTCTAGAATCTCCTATGATCTTCTAGAACTTTCTTAGAATCTAGTAGAACCTTCCAAATCCTTTTGGAACCTACTAAAACCTTCAAGAGTCTTCTTAGAACCTATTGGTACCTTCTAGAACCTTCTTCAGTTGTATGTTTGTGACATCACCTCCTCTTCTAATTTCAATGTCTTTAAGAAGCAATGTTGCAGCAAACTAATATATGAGTAAGAAGTTGAAGATCTGTCGCATGGTGTTTGCTATATATTTCAGTTGTTTTTTGCAAGGTAAATGGTTTATAGGCCCTTATAACCATCAATACTGTGCCAAGCCTTCTACTTGTGACCAAGCATAAACTCTGATATCTTCATTATGGAATTGTCCTGCAAACACTCCTTTTAGACATCCTTCATAGGCAAGTTCTATCTCAAACACAATTACTAGTGACCTATTATTAGGTATCCTTCAACATCTTTGTGGTTCAAGCGACTCTTCATCTTGGAATCATCTTTGCGAGTTACTTTGTTGAGATGGTATGACCACGAAGGCATCTATCTCTTGATTATCCATATTATATAAAGTAGACAAGACCAAAAGAATATAAATAGGCTATGTTCATAAATTCAAACTACTGACTTATACTATTCTAAACATTTGATAACAACTGCCTCTTAAGAGATTGCCTCTTTCTCTTCTTTATGAGGCCAAGAACTAAGAATCTTCATGATGAAGCCATCTTACTAAACTACTGTTCTTGATTTTGCTACTTTTGGTTTGGATGGATGTTGTTGATGGAACCTTTGAACCTTCATTTGTAAATTTATAAGGTTGTCAGTTGATTCCCACGTGCAATCATTGATATCATATTTGCACCAATGGATCAGATATTTAAGCCTTTCATGTCTTAACTTTGAATCTAATACCTCTTCTACTTCAAATTCAACATGATCATTGATTTCAACCATAGGAGGTGGTGGTTGTCTTCGACCTTGTATGTTCAATTCTTTATATCTTTCCAAAAGTGAAACATGAAAGAGTGGTTGAAGATAATTCCAAGTAATAAGTTACATAATTAATTTGTTTCTAAATCACAAATGGTCCCAGCCTTCAGTAGTCCAATTTATCACATGGCTTGTTGGTTTTTATATTGTACCGAAGAAGCCATATTCTATCACTAACTTGAAATAGAGGATGTTCCTTCCTCAATTCATTTGCTAGTAACTTATAACATTATTGAGCCCTTTCTAGGTGAGTCTTCATGGTTGTTTGAAGTTCAGCCGTCTTCGTAACAAACTCCTCTACTACTAGATTTATCAACTTTAAAGGCTATATCATATCCAACTTTGGATAATGACCATAATTTGAATAGAATGGCATTTGTTGCATATATGCATGGATGTCAAGGATAAGAACATGATAAAGACAAATAAACAAGTGAGACTTCTCTC